TTTTTTTTTATTTCATAATACATTTGAACAGTGTAAGACAAATAATCCTTCATGTAATGTCATTTGAGAAAATGTTTGAAACAATATTTGTAAAGGATTTAAAGGGTGAATAGATAAGTTCTTGAACATAAAATAAAACACCTTTTCATTTTAGACTTAAAGGGATTCTCGTGTACTTTTGTATACTTTTTAGCCAGTAGTTTTGAAAGTAGCTTTCACGAGCGAAAAGGGGTCCCCAACAATTGCGTACTACGTCACGTGCAGATATGTGCACCACATCATTGCTCTCTTTCTCTCTCTCTCTCTCTGGGTGCATCTTGCTAGCTGTCACTCGTATGGTGAGGGACTGAAGCTCATTGGTTGAACTCAAATTGCTAGGGGGCTGGCCAACATGGGGGAAAATTAATGGAAAATCGACAGAGAGAGAGAACGAGACGGGGAGGGTGGATGCAGGGATCATATCTCTCTCTCTTTCTCTCTTTGTCTCTCTCCCTTTCTCTCAAGAAGGAGAGTTGTGTGGGAAGCACAACCAGGTTCCCCGATAGCCTTTCCAGGAACAACAGTGGTTGGCCTGCCAAGAACGCCATCATCAGATAGACAGGGAGCTGTGCTGAAAGGAACAGAGCCTCCCAGCCATCTAAACCCCAAAGCTCCAGGGTAGAGGTTGGCCGAGTGGTACACAGACCATCATCAAGGACAATTTAGTGGGGGAAGAGGGACAGCTTGCCCATGCTCAGTCTCTTAGTTCATGCCCAGTCTCCTAGTTAAAAGCACTCTGCAGACCCTACAAAACCCCATTGTCTTGCCAAAAGATTAGGCCAGCTCTGGATGCCGGTTAACTCTTTGGCAGAGACATGCCTCCTTGTCACTAACAAAGGGATTAGGGGTTAAATCTGGTGTGTGTGTGTGTTTGGTTTTCTATCCTTTGGGGACCAGAAGTCCTCACAAGGAGATTAAAACAAGGAAAAGTCTGACAAATGGGGACATTTTTGCCGGTCCCCACAAGGAAAAAGGCTATTTTAAGCTTAGGGATTATGTTTACGGTTACAATTAAGATTAGGGGTTCAAGTTATGGTTATGGTTAGGTTAAGAGTTAGGTTTACAATTAAGGTTAGGATTAGGGGTTAAGGTTAGGTTTATGGTTTATGGTTATGTTAGGTTAAGGAAAATAGGATTTTGAATGGGAATCAATTGTTTGGTCCCCACAAGGATAGTAAAACAAACGTGCGTGTTTCTTTGTGTAGATGGGAGTGTGTGTTCTGCATGTGAGAGATACAGATATCTGCTGTGCTCATAAATCAATGGATGACCTTTGCCTCTGTTTTATCTCTTCTCTCACTGTCTCTCCCCCTTTCCTGCTTACAAAGTAAAGTCAGTCACACTGATTGTCCCCTGTAGCTCAGTTGGTAGAGCATGGCGATTGCAATGCCAGGGTTGTGGGTTCGATTCCCACGGGGGGCCAGTATGAAAATGTATGCACTCACTAACTGTAAGTCGCTCTGGATAAGAGCGTCTGCTAAATGACTAAAATGATTCCCAGATTCACATATTGTAAACATAAAATATTACAGTATTTACTAGATAGTGTATGTTGCTGTTTTAATCACACTGAGTGTAATAGTGTCATGAAATGACGACGACAAGGTGATAACGAGGTCTTATTGTTGTACATTCCACCATGAGATGGCTTGCTCACACCGTTTTTGCACGTGTGTATTTTTGTGTATTTTTAAGCATTTCACTTACCCTTGTTTGGAGTTTCACGGTTTACTCATAGGAGCAACGCTGTCAACATTGGAGTGCTACTATGGAGGGAATACGGGAGCACACCACTTCCTGGAATTCTCAACCCCTTGTGAGAATGCAAGTATCAATAATTCAATGTACATTCCCATTGGCACTTGACCAGACTGAGGTGTGTATTTAAAAGCCATAGAAGCAACATGTGCCAGAATGGTTTGAGATGGAGATGAAGAAGAACCTCTTGCGAAACACTGAAACTGGAAAAACTATGGAATTTCGAAGGCGCATCAGACTAATCAGTGGCAAAATCCGGACTGGGTCACAAAGTAAACAGGGAAGTGAAATGTTTTAAATGTTTAAAAGCCAAAAAAGTGCGGTTCTACCGAAATGGTGACAAATACTTCAAGGGTTTGGTGTAAGCCGTGTCCAACGACCGTTTTAGGTCCTTAGACGCCCTGCTTATGGAGCTTACCCGGTCTCTCTCGGACAACGTCAACCTGCCACAAGGTGTCCGGAGCATCTACACCGTGGACGGCAGCAAGAAGATCAGCAGCCTGGACGAGTTAGTGGAGGGTGAGAGCTACGTGTGTGCCTCTAACGAGCCCTACTGCCGGGAGGACTACACCAAGAACGTTAACCCCAACTGGTCAGTGGGCATCAAGGCAGGCCAGTCCCGCTCCCTGTCCTCCCTCAGAACCCTGGTAAAGGGCGAGCTGCAGCGTAGCGAGGCCAGCCTCGGCACCAGAGACTTCATCAAGCCCAAGCTGGTCACAGTCATCCGCAGCAGGGTCAAGCCCAGGAAGGCAGTGAGGATCCTGCTGAATAAGAAGACGGCCCACTCCTTCGAACAGATGCTGACCGACATCACAGACGCCATCAAGCTGGACTCCGGGGCAGTCAAACGGCTGTACACACTGGAGGGAAAACAGGTGGCGAATCGCATCTCTGCATGTCTGGCAGACATATCAGTGTGGATGACGGATCACCACCTCAAGCTGAACCTCGGCAAGACGGAGCTGCTCTTCCTCCCGGGGAAGGACTGCCCGTTCCATGATCTCGCCATCACGGTTGACAACTCCGTTGTGTCCTCCTCCCAGAGTGCAAAGAGCCTTGGCGTGACCCTGGACAACACCCTGTCGTTCTCCGCTAACATCAAGGCGGTGACCCGATCCTGTAGGTTCATGCTCTACAAAATTTGGAGAGTACGACCCTGCCTTACACAGGAAGCGGCACAGGTCCTAACCCAGGCACTTGTCATCTCCCGTCTGGATTACTGCAACTCGCTGTTGGCTGGGCTCCCTGCCTGTGCCATTAAACCCCTACAACTCATCCAGAATGCCGCAGCCTATTTGGTGTTCAACCTTCCCAAGTTCTCTCACGTCACCCCGCTCCTCCGCACACTCCACTGGCTTCCAGTTGAAGCTCGCATCTGCTACAAGACCATGGTGCTTGCCTACGGAGCTGTGAGGGGAACGGCACCTCCATACCTTCAGGCTCTGATCAGTCCCTACACCCAAACGAGGGCATTGCGTTCATCCACCTCTGGCCTGCTGGCCCCCCTACCTCTGCGGAAGCACAGTTCCCGCTCAGCCCAGTCAAAACTGTTCGCTGCTCTGGCACCCCAATGGTGGAACAAGCTCCCTCACGATGCCAGGACAGCGGAGTCACTCACCACCTTCCGGAGACACTTGAAACCCCACCTCTTTAAGGAATACCTGGGATAGGATAAAGTAATCCTCACCCCCCCTTAGCCCCCCCCCCCCCCCCAAAAAAAAAAAAAAAAAAAAAAAACATATTGTAAAGTGGTTATCCCACTGGCTATAAGGTGAATGCACCAATTTGTAAGTCGCTCTGGATAAGAGCGTCTGCTAAATGACGTAAATGTAAATGTAAATGCTTTTACTGGAATGTCAAAGGACCAATATTGCTGGCTTTTAATCTCACTCATTTTAACATACCTGCTATTGATGGCTCACTGCTTTTAAAGTACTGACAATTGAAGTTGAAGATTTAAATATTACTGTATCTATTGATTTGAAGACTGGACTGTTACTGTTAAGAGGCTCACTGTCACGACGTTCATCGTTACCGGAGTACTAGCTACTGCCGATCCCATTCTCATCACTCCACTTGTCATGTCTTGTCAATCACACACACCTGGTGCTCATTCCCCTAATTAGTATGTGTATAAGTGTTCCCTCTGTTCCCCTTGTCTTTGTGAGTGATTGTTTTGTTGTGAGAGCTTGAAGCTCGGTTTAGCTACATTTTACTGTGTATTTGCCAAGGTGGATGTTTTCCCTTGTACAGTTTCGTTTGACGCTTGGGGCATTTGATTTCTGCAAACGGATTAAACTCTGGACTTCGGTATTTTACCTCCTGCGCCTGACTCCTTTCACACCTCGTCACACTCACTCAGATGAGCGGACAGAACCGGAGTAAAACGAGGAGCGGCATTGAGAGGAGCGGGCATGCTGCCGGAGTTCCCCCATCCCCTAAAATAGGAGAAACATTTGTTTTCCTTTTGTGGAATCGATTCCTCCCTAACCCATTTAGTGGGTGGCCTACATCATTTTTGATACATTTCCAATCTACCTATATATACAAAAAAAAAAGATCATCCTTTTTGCTGAAATCTTGAACCCTTGTGTTTCTGTGGTTCCAAACTGGTCACTAGAACTCGAACCTTTACAGTTAACCTGGTGCTCCAAACCTCCACCAGGTGGTGTAGTCTGTTTTTTATGACAATAGCGCACAAAGATGCAAATGAGTGAGCGTTTACAGTTCACAGCTATACTATCTGAAGTAAGTCAAAGGATGTGTTGATCCTCCATTGACTGTTGGGGAAGTTGTAGGGGACGTCTTCATCCTAGTTCAGAGATCAGAGGTGGAGGAACCTTCTACCTTGCTCTCTCGCTCTCAAACACACACACACACTCTTTCCCATCTCTATCCAGGCCTGACCGGCCAGTCTCCTCTCTGATCCTCCTTGTGTCTTTATCGACTGACGGCCCAAGCCCCCAGATCATTGTTCCCTAGATAAACTGTAAGTCTAACTCTATCCCCTTAGAGCATCTGATTAGCAACGCGTCACAGACCTGGAGGTTTAATCCAGGTCTGGTACCGGAATAGAGCCAAGGGGAGGGAGGGGCCAGGGCTGGAGGCAGGCTGGACTTGAGGGCTGAGTGCCACCAGGCATGTGCCCCAGGCTAATCCTGCCTTAAATAGCCCCAGGAAGGGATCTAGGGCAGCGCAGTTAACACCGTGGGAGCGCTCTGAGCTGGCGCACTGTCCAACACACTCCTGGACGTGCCACACACACAGAAGGAGCAGGGAGAGGACTTTTCAGAACGTATCTAGAGTGGATCCTGGGACTATAGCTGAAAACTCTGTGGTCCAGGATGAACTTTGCCGCCCAGTTCATCTACGCCAACTACGTCGGTGATGGATCGCCCAGCAGAGTGGGATTCAACGACAGTGAGAATGACCCCTTCTGGCAGAGGTGGGACACTACAGATTCATCCCCCACCCAGTGTATCCTACTACCCCCCCCCCCCCCCCCCCAACACCCAGAGGAACCCCCAAAGCCTCCAGATGTAGTGACTCCTGTAGTGATTCCTGCTGTGGCTCCTGTAGCACCTCCTATGGCACCTCGTTCCCCTTCATTCTTCCCCTGCACCTCCCCTTCTCTCTACCCAAGGTCAACCAAGCCCGCCAGTCACAACCTTAATCCTCCACCATCTTCCTCCTCCTTCTCCTCGTGCAAAGAAATCTACCAAGTCCTCTACAGCCATCAGCAAACCACTGCCTCATCATCCAGCATCTCCTGTCCCCAAATCTAAAGCCTCTAAAGCCGTCTCTGACCCCCATCCTCCTCCACCTGAACCAGCCCCTCCACCCCATCGAGCCTCCCCTGCTCCTTCTCTCCCCAGGTCCACAGTAGCTGGTACCACAATGGAAACTTAAAGTGAAGTTCAATTCTACCAGCTGGTTTGAATTATACCATGCGGTCTATCCATTTCAGCAGTGAATATTGTGAGCAAAATGTAGGAGCCTGTTGAGGGATACAAAATAGTCTACTACTTAATGGTTAATGTCAGAGTCTCTCCTCAACATTATAAAGTAAATCATAGTGTCAATGTTCTATGACTGCATGCATTAGGTGTTAAAAGTTATTCCCAGAGTTGTGTCAAGTTGGCTGGATGTCCTTTGGGTGGTCAGAGTGGTCCTCTGTAGCTCAATTGGTAGAGCATGGCGCTTGTAACGCCAGGGTAGTGGGTTCGATCCCCGGGACCACCCATACGTAAAAATGTATGCACACATGACTGTAAGTCGCTTTGGATAAAAGTGTCTGCTAAATGGCAGATTATTATTATTATTATTATTGATACACACAGGAAAATGTTGAGTGTGAAAAACCCAGCAGCATTGCAGTTCTTGACACAAACCGGCGTGCCTGGCACCTACTACCATACCCCGTTCAAAGGCATTTAAATATTTTGTCTTGCCCATTCACCCTCTGAATGGCACACATACACAATCCATGTCTCAATTGTCTCAAGGCTTAAAAATCATTTTTTAACCTGTCTCCTCCCCTTCATCTACACTGATTGAAGTGGATTTAACAAGTGACATCAATAAGGCATCATAGCTTTCACCTGGATTCACCTAGTCAGTCTGTCATGGAAAGAGCAGGTGTTCTTGATGTTTTGTATACTCTGTGTATAGTAGATAATATCCTGTAGCTATGTATCATAACCACAAAAACATGGTTAGATTGGTTCTCTTTGGGGTTTTAGGCTGGGTTTCTGTATAAGCACTTGGTGACATCTGCTGATGTAAAAAGGGCTTCATTAATAAATGTGATGATTGAAATATATTATCAATCTCATTAACTATTATCAGAATGATTCGGCAATGTTTTGACATGAAGAAAAAGTAATTACATGTACATGATTGTATTACTATTATATTGAGTATTGGTATTAATAACAATCCAACTAAAACAACAATAAGCATCTATCTGATTCTACATTACTCATCACATGCTATATTTGGTAACACTTTACATGACACCCAGTGTTATAACACGTTATGACACGGTCATAACCATGCCAAATATGTCATAACAGCTGACATAACGTGTCATAATCTGTTATAATATGGTCATAACACTGTCATGACACATATATTTAGACCTGTTGTGACATATATTGCATTATTTTATGGCTTGTTATGATACCTACATAAGAGTTAAAAAACCAACAAAACCTATCACACAAGGCAAAACATTCCATTACACCATAGCCTACATGTCAACATAAGAAGGAAAGAAATTCCACAAATTAACTTACCAAGGCACACCTGTTAATTGAAATGCATTCCAGGTGACTACCACATGAAGCTGGTTGAGAGAATGCCAAGAGTGTGCAAAGCTGTCATCAAGGCAAAGGGTGGCTACTTTGAAGAATCTAAAATCTAAAATATATTTTGTTTAACACTTTTTTGGTTACTACATGATGCCATATGTGTTATTTCATAGTTTGATGTCTTCACTATTATTCTACAGTTTAGAAAATAGTAAAAATAAAGGAAAACCCTTGAATGATTAGGTGTGTCCAAACTTTTGACTGGTACTGTACAGTATATATATTTTTTTTTTTTATTGACAATATTAAATTAACATTGTAATTGTGCACACGTTAATGTCAGACATGCACCTACCCTAATGCTCTGTTGCTGATGACTGGGATGAATGCAGGAGCAGATTTCAGGAGCAGGACAAGACACCCTCTATGTACGTGATAGGCCTATCTGGCTTATATGATCATGATGGTCCTAATGCTTCTTGACAGTGTCATAAAGTGTATTTTCTTAGTCCAAGTAAAGTGACTTAGGGTGGTCCTAATGCTTCTTGACAGTGTCATAAAGTGTATTTTCTTAGTCCAAGTAAAGTGACTTAGGGTGGTCATAATGCTTCATGACAGTGTCATAAAGTGTATTTTCTACAAGTTATTTAAAATAGGATGAAAAAAAACATGACTGTAAAGAATTAATTACAACAACCTAGGATTTAAGAAACACACTTTCAAACGAAAGGAAACTTATTGGCAGGGAAAAAACGAATTTGAATAAATGTGAGTTTTGACACTCTTATGTAGGAATTATAACCAGCCATAAAAGAACACAATATATGTCACAACAGGTGTAAATATATGGGTCATGACAGTGCTATGACCATGTTATGACAATTTATATCAGCTGTAATGACATATTATGACTGGGTGTCAAGTAAAGTGTTACCCTATGGGTAATTATTGCATGTACTTAAGACTGAGTTGAAAGACAATTTAATAGTTATAAATAATGTGAAGACATCCTTTAATCAGAGATTAAATAAATCAAGCAGAAGTGAAACTCTTGAGAACAAGAAAGGTGAATCAATTCCTTCCAACCATTCCCTAACCTTAGAGCCATGTGTTTGTGTGTGTGTGTTTGTGAGCGGGCGTGCGTGTGTGCTTGAATGTGTGTGTGGTTAATAGGTCAAAACTCTGGTAGTCATAAGGGACAGCCAGGTGTACCTGGACATGGAAAGATCTGTGTGGATTATCTTATATTGTACAGAGAACAAGGTCACTGCCATCACTCCCAGACAATGTAAAGCAGTGGCTTATTCCCACGTGTTCACACACACGTACAAACCTTATTCCCAAAAACTCCCACCCAGTCTATCAGAAGGCAAGGTGAACCGATTACCATATTATTTCCAATTAAATTATTTCAGAAACAGAAGTGATAAGGGTTAGGGGTCAATTTTGAATTTAGCAATTCTCTCCTCCTGCTCACTCTCGTCACTCTACACTATTAGAAAATAAGGTGCTATCTAGAACCTGAAAGGGTTCTTCGGCTGACCCCATAGGAGAATCCTTTGAAGAACCCTTTTTGGTTCCAGGTAGAACACTTTTGGTTTCAGGTGGAACCCTTTTGGGTTCCATGTAGAACCTTTTCCACAGAGGGTTCTCGATGGAACCAAAAAGGGTCCTACCTGGAACCAAAAAGGGTTCTCCTATGGGGACAGCCGAAGAACCCTTTTGGAACCCTTTTTTCTGAGAGAGTGTAGCCCATTGCTGAGACTGTTGACCTGAAATGCATGTGTATAATGGTAAGAGCTGTATCCAACACTACAGAAACCCAACCACTACTCTTCAATTCCAAGCCCTGTTTCTCTCCCTCTCTCCGCCAGCGAGGATCAGCGTCTTGGGCCAACTAAACAGGGCTGCTCCACCTCCTCCAAGAGTACCTGCAACAAGGACGCCCCCGTCTGTAATGGGGTTGAAGGCTGGAGGCCCACCCTCATCCACCCGGAGCGCCTGAAGGACTTTGGTATTGAGGAGGAGGAGTGCCTCAATGGGGAAGTCAAGACCTTCGAGACCAAGGTGGTGGGCGCCCCTGAGATCCAGCTAATGGACCCACCCAAGACTAACAAGAAGAGAGGCAGCGAGCGCAAAGCAGTCGCACCACCCAAGCCTGAGTACCTTAGCTTCGAGGACATCAGTGCTGCAGCCATCAAAATCCAGTCAGGGATGCAGAAGACCCCCTGCACGGTATGCCAGCTCCAGTTCAGAGCCTTCTGTACACCCTTGGAAAAAATTTACTACCTAGAACCATGAAGGGTTCTTTGGATGTCCCTGGCCTGTAGGAGTCTAGGAGAACCATTTTGTATCCAGGGAAAACCTTTTCACCAAAGGGTTCTTAAAGGGTTATTTTGTGGAGGGACGGTTGAAGAACCTTTTTATTCTAGGTAGTAGTCTATTTTCTAAAAGTAAACACTTTAAATTATGGCCCTTGCTTCATGCAGAAGCTTAATCACATTCTGCTTGTTTGTGTTCCCAGTACTCCAGACTGTCCAAACAGTATGGCATGGAGATCTTCCTAAAGAAGGAGCACCTCCACTACACAGGCTCAGTGAAGGAGAGAGGCGTTCTGTACCTACTCACCTCCCTCAACCAGGTATGAATCCCAATGCATTTCCCAATGCATCCCAGCTGGTGAACAGCTCATTTATTAAAACAAGTACCCAACAAGCTAACAAGTAGCTAACACGTAGGGCTGCAAAATTCCTGGAAGTTTCAATAAATTCCCTGTTTTTCCCGAAATCCCAGTTGGAGGAGTCCCGGAATCAGGAGGGAAAAAGCAGGAAATCTGGAATCTTCCAACCAGGAATTCTGGAAAACCAGGGAATTTATTGAAGGTTCCAGGAATATTGCAACCCTGCTGACAAGTAGCTAACAAGAAGCTAACAAGCTAAACAAATACTAATCACTTTAACAGTTAGCAAACTCCTATCCCCCTCCACAGGAGCAGCAGAAGAAGGGAGTGATCGTGGCTACAGACTGTAGCTTCTCCATGGCCGTGGCCCACCATGCGGTGGAGTTGAGGATCCCAGTGTTTGTCATCATGCCAGCCAGCTGTGCCCAGCCCCACCTCAGAATATACAGAGACTATGGCGCAATGGTCATCTCCTACGGTAGTACCGCCAGGGACTCCCTGAACCATGCCCGCCACCTGGCCAAGGAAAACGGATACCTCTGCCTGGAAGAGTAAGTCACCCTGGAGATTGACTGCTTTGGTGGTTGCCCCACATAGATGGGCGCCAGGCCCATAGCTCTCCTTTGTCTCAAAACATGTACTGTACAGTGGGGACAATGTGACACTGATAAATGGTTATATTGTATCTCTCTTTCTCTCTCTCTATTTTCTCTCTTCCTCTCTCACTTTCTATCTCTCTCAGGGATGATAGTGCTCTGTACTTGGCAGGGCTGGGCACAGTAGGCATGGAGATCTATGAGCAGGTGCCCAAACTAGATGCAGTCATTGTGTCCACTGGTGGGCAGTGTAGTCTACTGGTTAGCACAGCAGCAGCCATCAAACACCTCAACTCACGCATCACTGTCATAGTAAGTGTTTCCTCACTCTCAATATGTGTTTAGTGTACTATTGTCACAGTGAGTAAGTTGTAACCATGCTCTCCAAAATAATATTGGGATTCATATACCATTGTTCTCTTTGACAGGGAGTTGAACCAGAAGGATTCCCACTGCTACTACAGTCCCTCAAAACAGGCAGCCCAGTGACTAGTGAACGTTACAGCATCCCCAACAATAAGCTTTATGGAGGTACTGTACCCTTGTACACCTGTAGGCTTTCTGAACCCACACCTGCTCCCTGTGATGTGGTCTTTCTTTTTCTTAAATAGATATCAATTGTCATGGCACTACTCACTGAACCTAACGCCTATATCCCGCTCTCTATCCCCAGATATATTTGAGCACTCACTGGGGACACACACCTTCCAGCTGGCTAAGACATTTGTGGACAAAGTCATTACTGTCAGGTACTACATCTCTATGGAAGGGGAGGGTATCTCTCACCACACATTTGCCATTGTCATAGTATCCTACATATATGGACATAGACATCCCTCAGTTCCCCAGTGGCCTGAGTGTTTCCAGGACTCTAAATTGGTAGCACTAATGCTCCCAACTTTAAAAGGTTAGAAGCACCAAAGTATTTAGGAGCACCAGAAAAGAGATTAGGCCTATATGAATCCTATCCTGGAGGAGCTATCCAGGATCCCCTTTATTTTTCTTTAGCTCCGGTCATATGAGTTATACATTTTGAGGTTTGGGCTAGAGTCTAGCAGTTTTATGCATTGCAAAGTTGCAACCATGGTTCTCACAGGTGGGGTGCAAAGGGAAGTGAACACTGCCGCTACCTCGCTCTCCAATCAAGGTGCATGAACTGAGGAGCAAACCAGAGTGTTAAAAGCACATGTCTCTGCCTTAGCCTTTAACAGATAGAAAAGAAGGATGCTTTTGTATATTTCTAAATGGTCTCTTATGGGTTCAGGGACCAATCACAATGGGAATACAACACAAAACGTGATTAGTTGCAATAATCCAACCAATAGCCGGCCATTTTCAAATATATCAAAGTCTCTTTTATTTGTGTCTGTAAGACCTAGATAAAATCTAAGTGCCGAAGTTGGTTAAACTTCTAATAATAAAGAAGTGCTTAAGAGTAGCTGAATTTCCTCTTCACTCTCACAGGTGAGGTGAAATGATACATTCTATTGACTTTGCTCATTGACTTTGCTCACTGCAATATGATACAAATGTAACAACAGCCGGAGCGCAGCGGGCAAGAAACACAAATGTAACAACTTAGCTTGTTGCGCCTAACGGCACAAATATAATTTTACCATTCAATGTATTATCTGGGTGACTATTTTTCCAGGCCCACTTCCAGCTCGTACAGCTAAATATTTAGGAGCATATGGGAGCAAGATGGTCGCAAATTAGAGCCCAGAGTGCAGTAGAGTGTTTTGATAATAGTCCTTTAGCACTGCTGTTGTTCTCTCTCTCTCTGAGACTCTCTGACCTCTATCTCTTCTCCTCAGAGAGGAGGACTCTCTGGTAGCCATGCTGAGGTTCCAGGAGTTTGAACGCTCCACAGTAGACACAGAGGGAGCCATGGGACTAGCGGCCATCTTGGCTGGGCAACTACCAGAGCTAAAGGGCAAAAGGTGGGTTTACACACTGTTCAGGGTGTTTTTACTGTACCAAAACATAGGAGTGAATCCTAAGACTCCCATTGACATACTGTAAATGCATGACTAAATGAAAATTGGACTTAAGTGGAAATTAGGATTCACACCATAGTGTCCAAAATGTAACCTGTTGATATTCCGATGAACTGAGTCTGCATCTATCTCCTTGTCTGCCCGCTGCAGGGTAGCTGTGGTGGTGAGCAGTGCTAACATGGAGTTGGACCTGATCAGACAGTGTGTTGACCGCGCCCTGATTCTGGATGACCGCGTCAACAAGTTTACAGTGCAGCTGGGGGACTTTCCGGGGGACATGGCCAAGCTACTGGACATGCTGGCAAGAGAGGACATCAAGTGAGCTAAACACTAACAGAAGAACAGATAGTTATGACCTATACTGTACATCTGAATATGAATACCCTAGTGTATAAGAGGTTGATTACTCCCTATTTATCTGAAACACACACACACACACATCCCACACACATATCAGTGTGTGGTCATACAGACTGACAATAACCCAGTACTGCCAGAGCTTATTAATCAACAAATTCCTGATACCTGTGCTACATATGAATGGAGATGAGTGTGTATAGTTAGATTATGGTGCATATAGTTAGATAACTCTCTCTGTGACAGTAATGCCACTGTGCCCAATCTGGCCCTGTGACCCTGTTCCCCCACATCCGATCACATCAGAATAAGCCACAGTACAGGAGGAGGCTTTACCTGGCAGGATGATCAGTCTGGATATACAAATCCTCTAACAGTGTGAATTTAGTCTGCTCCTCTCTTCCTCCTCATCCACTGTTTCTTTCTCTTGTTCTGTATGTTTACATCTGTTACCTCTCACTAATGCTTCTTTTCATCCTCCATCTCTCAACCTCTACCTTTCTTTCTTACTCTCTCTCTCTCTCCCTCAGGTTGTTGGATGTTTGCCACCGGAGATACAGTGACAGAGGCGATCTCTTCAAGGCCCAGGTACGACGGCCTTAGCCTTCTTCCCACCTTCCTCGCCTCTTCCCCCCGAAATCCACTCAACTGCTTCTCAAATGACTGTATATATGAAGCGCTTCTCACACTGCCATTGCCATGGAAACCCTGGCTCGGTTGCCAATGTGTTGGCAGTGCAGGGTGGTGTGAGATAAGTAGTGGATTCCGGGTCCAGTGCTGCTAGACAATGTGTCAATATGTGATTGATTTGGAAGTGGTTTATGACTCAGAATTTCTGATTGAGGCGTTGCCTACTAATGTCAAGCATGATTTAAAATTATAGATGTGTGATGTCAACTGACTGTAAAGTTGATAGCTGTAAAATAAGTTATGTACAGGTAAAGGTAGAATATTATGTTACTACAATGTAGCGGATTAAGGATAGTCATAGAATTGAGCCAGACTGGAATCGATTGGGACTTCAGGTGTGTTGAGTGTGTTGGGAGCATGTTGGGTCGCAGGTTGACATAAAGTCCAGTCAACTTTGTTCTAAGGGCAGAAAGAGTCTGATTGGTTTAGGACAGAACAAATACGATTTGTTTCTAAAAGGTCAATGAGTGGAGTAAGAGCCATGTATTAAGAGTTGGGCCAATGCGGTTTCAGCATTATGATGCATTTAGATGACACTTCAACATTCTATGGCAGCCATGTTAGCGCCCCATTACCATTACATGGGGAATATTAAAAAATACTATAAAACTGAATGTCTAGAATGAGCATTATGATGCATTTTCATGACACTACAACATTCTATGGCAGCCATATTAGCTCCCCATAGAGAGAAATAGTAATGGTGTCTTTTTGTAGGCACTAAATCCGCCATGGTTCGTTGGACAAAGCCTATGGGGATATTAATGGCATTTTTGGAGGGTTTTTGGATAAACGCTGAAAATGAGGTCTGTGGCAAACACAGGCTTAGGAGATCTTATACGTTTTGTTCTATGAGATTATCTTCATCAGCTAACGTCACTTGTTGTGAATTTTGAAGCATTTTTACACTGCTGCTACTCGCTGTTTATTATCTATGTATAGTCACTTTACCCCTACCTACATGTACAAATTACCTCGACTAACCTGTGCCCCCGCATATCGACTCGGTACCAGTACCACCTGTATATAGCCTCGTTATTGTTATTTTATTGTGTTACTTTTTATTTTATTTTTTACTTTAGTTTATTTAGTAAATATTTTCTTAATTCTATTTCTTGAACTGCATTGTTATTTAAGGGCTTGTAAGTTAGCATTCCCGGTAAGGTCTACACCTGTTGTATTCGGTGCATGTGACAAATAACATTTGATTTGATTTATGTAATCAAAAAAAGCATGACCTTCATAATTCATAAAGGTCATGTTAACTCACTGATATTATCTCATAGAACTTATAAGATCTCCTAAGCCTGTTACCTCAGACCTTATTTTTGGCATTTATCCCAAATCCCTATTCTTTCCCCATTTATTTTCCCCATAGGAATGGCTGAAATAACCAGAAGTAACTCATTTCCAGTCAACATATCTATCAACGTGGTCCTCTGTAGCTCAACTGTAGAGCACGGGCGCTTGTAACGCCAAGGTAGTGGGTTCGATCCCCGGGACCACCCATACACAAAAATGTATGCACGCATGACTGTAAGTCGCTTTGGATAAAAGCGTCTGCTAAATGGCATATTATTATTATTATTATTATTAACATTAGATGGGGAATATTTAAACAATGCCATGTAACCTAATGTCTAGAATTAAAACAATATTCAAAATTCTAAAAGTTGGCCTAACTCTAAATATATGGCTCTGGGTGGAGTTTAACAGACGCACAACTTTTGAAAACATGGCGCAGGTTTGAACTAAGAAACTTGTAAATAAACCTGAGTTACAAGTTGTAACGTTTTGAAATCATTATTGTGCTACAGGAGTCAAATGTGACAATATCTCTACGATGATACAACTGGTCTCCTGACTTGAAGGAAACAAAAAAATGTAGCAAATTAGCAGCAACATGCTAAGCTAATCAGAGCAAGCTAGCTAGCTAAACATTTAGAAATCTCTTAGCTACTCATGTTGAATTAATAAATAGAGCTAGCTAGGTGTCAAATATACAAGTAAGTCAGCTAGCGTTTGCTTCATTGAAATGTTAAAGCTGCAATATGTAACTTTTTGGGAAATCTGACCAAATTCACATAGAAATATGAGATCTGTCATTCTCATTGAAAGCAAGTCCAAGAAGTGGTAGCTCTGTTCTATGTGCACTATTTCTATGCTTCTTTAAGTTTTGTTTTTGTGTCTTTTACTTTTGGTTTTGTGCACCAGCTTCAAACAGCTGAAAATACTATTTTTGGTAATGGAAAATATACTTCACAGCGGTTTACAATGATTCTCTACATAAACTAAAATTAGGCGAACTAATTGAATTTTTGCAACCAGGAAATGGCGGAGCAATTTCTGCATACTGCATCTTTACATTGAAGAAGCTATATGAACAAAAATGTGGATGGACAGTTATGCTGCCCCAGAGGCAGCAACGTAAAATGCTAAGCTAAACAGAGCTAGTTAGCTAGCAGATAGCTATCTCTTACTAACATTGAGTCATATAATAGAGTTAGCTAGCTAGGTCTCAAATATACCAGTAAGTCAGCTCCCACTTAAATATTTGTTGAATAAGCTATCTATATAAATAAAAAAATTGGAATGGACTGTTATGCTTCCCTGGGGGAAGAAATTTAAAATGCTACGCTAAACTGAACTAGCGGGCTTAGCAAATGTTAAATCATAAAAGCTAGAGAAAATGATATGAAGCAAAAATAATTGGTAAGATTAAGCGTAATAAACAAAAAATTGGAATGCACTGTTTAAATGCTGCTCCAGGGGCAGTAATATTAATTTGGGTGAAGATAACCATAGGATATAATTTAGATAAGTCATATACTTTTTTTGTATTACTTTTTGCGCTTGAAGTCTGCCCTTAGGGCACTAAAGTGATCTTAGCCCAAACTAACATTACTGCCACTGGGAAAGCATTTAAACAGTGCATTCCAATGGCTTCAACAAGGGCAGTAAATACTTTTTTTATTACCTTTAGTGCTTCAAGTCTGCCCTTGGGGCACCAAGTGATCTTGACCCAAACTAACATTACTGCCCCTGGGTAAGCATTTAAACAGTGCATTCAAATGGCTGCCCCGAGGGCAGATCAGACTTTTTAAAATGACTTTTTGTGCTTGAAGTCTGTCCTTATGGCCTCAAGGGATCTTGACCCAAACTAACATTTCTGCCCCAATGGCAGCATAAACAGTCTGTTCCAATTTTGGAGTTTATATCTACCTATTGGCAGATTTGAGACCTAACTTGGTAGCTATTTCTATTTTATAATTCAACATTAGTATGAGATAGCGCTTTGCTCAGCTAAGCTACACTTAGCTTAGCTTAGCATTTTACGTTTCTGCCCCCAGGTAAGCATAACAGTCTATTCCAATTTTTCTGTTTAAATGGCTTATTCAATTAAATATTTTGATCAAGTAAGTGGGAGCTGATTTACTAGTATATTTGAGACCTAGCTAGCTAGCTAGCTCTATTCTATGACTCAACATTAGTAAGAGATAGCTTTCTGGTAGCCAACTAGCTCTGTTTAGCTTAGAACTTTACTTGGCTGCCCCCGGGGCAGCATAACTGTCCATCCCCATTTTTTAAAGTTTTATACCTTATTCAATAAAGCAAATGTTAGCTGACTTGTATATTTGACAGCTAGCTAGCTAGCTCTATCTTTTTAATCAACATGAGTAGCTAAGAAGTTGCTAAATGCTTAGCTAGCTAGCTTGCTCTGATTAGCTTAGCATGTTGCTGCTAGCTTACTACATTTTACTATTCAGGAGACCAGTTGCATCTTGGAGATATTGTCACATTTGTCTGACTACTGTAACACAATAAGGATTTCAAAATGTTACAACATTTAACTGAAAGTTTTATTTACAAGATTCTCAGTTCAAACCTCCGCAATGCTTTCATAAATTGTGCAACTGTTAAAACACTGCCCATTGACCTTTTAGAAACCAATCGGATTTGTTCTGCCCTAAACCAATCAGATTATTTCTGCCCTTAGAACAAAGTTGACTACACTTTATGTCAATCTGCTGTTGGCAGGACAGATGATATAACCACATAGCAATTGTACGTTTTAAACGTGTGTTAGTGGGTCAATGTATAATTAGTTTAGACACTCCAGTGTTTATTTACAGTTGACAGACAGTGTGTGTATGTAGCACTAGCAGCGAGAGATTATTAGGATTAAATCTGTGTTGTGTGCCCACAGGTGGAGTGTGTAGTGGAGACCAGGGATAAAACACAGAGCACTCAGCTCCGCAGGACACTGTCTGAGCGCTACCCCACACTACGCTGGCTGGAGCGGTGATCAACACTTGTCATGGCTCTCAATCTGAACACCCACACACACACGGACAAAGCATGTACACGCATGTACATACACACCCACAATGAAACAGAAACATTGTGAATATATATGCAAACTAACACAAAATACATGCATTGAAATCTTTGCTGCAGAGAGGAGATACAATTAAATACTGGAATATATGGCATTTACTGCATATACTGCTCTGATGAGAAAACAATACTTTCACCCAACACTTCTGTTATTAGGGAGCTCAGGGGGTACTTTTGGGCCAGTTGCACGGACACAGATTAAGCCCAGCTAGTCCTGGACTAAAAATCTATTTCTATGGAGATTCTCCATTGAGCATACTTTTTAGTCCAGAACCAGGCTTAATCTGTGCCTTGGAAACAGGCCCGTTGAGTGTGATAATGATTAACATTAACATTCCAGTGAGTCACGCCAGTGCATTAGCTACTGTCCGACATAGTCTACTCATGGTTAGCCCCTAGTTAGGAGCTAGCGTTTTGATGTGGTTCCTCCTTACAAACCACTACTGTTGCATTGAGAGAAAAAATAACACATTAAGTATACAGTATTTTCAATACAGATTGTTTTTGAATTGTTGTACATATCTATATTTATAACAACAGCGGTAGTGACAATCAAAACTAATATGTTCTGGAAATAAAAGATGATGATAATGATGTATTCAACGATTTGTCTTCGTAATTTTTATATCCAGTTCAGAAGAGATCAGGTAAGGTCAGCCAATAGGATCAACTAAAAATGTAAATGTAAAACTGCACAACGCATGTTATTCATAGGTGTGTTAGAGCATCTGCTTACCATCTACCCATCAATTAATTAGATCGTGGGAACTAAAGAAAGTGGGCCAAAGGTTCCTTGTATAGAATCAGCCCTGATCCTCTTACTCCCACTCCCTGCTGAGAGAGAGGATGAGAGCGAGAGACCTTGAAATGAAAGTTTCCTCATGGTTCAGAAGATGACATCTCGTTGATTTAATGATTGGAGACAGCGCCAGAGGAGAGACGGGGCGATTAAGATGGGCTAATTCCTAAGTTCGTTAGCAGAGGACATTCTGACCCCGTTGGTCAGTACTAAGAAACTTCCCACTGTATATCATTGAAGCAATCTGGACCTCTCAATGTCCTGGCCTCCTCACCCATCTATTGTGCCTAAGACAAAGAAACATATCATCAACTCTGAACCGAGTGAGATATTGATACTGAGATATTACAAAATGTTCCTCAAGATGACCTGTCCCTTCAAGCTTCTCCAGTTTATCTGAAAGATGACCAGTTGTATCAAAAATAAAGGGGGGAGGTTGAACTTACTGATTTTAGCCTCGGTTTCAATTCTCCTCATTAGGAAATGTGACTGAGAACGAGATTTGGGTCTTGGAGGCATGCTTTGATGTGGATGTCTCTTGTGTGTGAGTTCAAAACGTGGGAAGCGTTTTTACTTTCACTCTGCTAAAACAGTACACAGTTAGTCATTCACCCTTCTAGGTAAGTTGAAAAAGTCTAACCAGGTCGTGTGTCTGGAAGTAGCCTAGACTAGCTAGCAGGCTAGCCAACTTTTTTCGCCAATTAGCTTCAGCAGGTAAGGGTGCGACCTTGGCAAAGTTGGATTGACTTTGGATAGCCTATCTGTGGGGCTAGTTAGGGACTGTCAAATTACACAATGTAAATGGAACAATGTTTTTATGTTGCACACCTTTTCATTTTTTCATTAAATGCTGTCAATATTTGTATATGGATTTCTACAATCAGTTGGTTTGAGGTTTTTAAGTCATTGAAATTTGGAGCTATTGACATTTTAAAATATTGTCCCATGTACATTGTGTAATTTACTGATGGTCCCTAACCATCCAATGTCAAAACAAATTGACCATGGGCATTTCGATCTTGTCTTATGCAGCTGTGCTCCGAATGGATGATTACTAGGGTGCTGCCAGCTGTGGGCATGTGGGCATGATTGAAATAAACCCAACCCAAGGAAAACTGTTACGGTACTCTTCATTCCGTAACATACTAATTAACCCTATTTATCTTGCAAATCTCAGTTTTGGACGAGACTGACTTTATAACCAAGATTATCCTATTTAAACTTTGTAGTAAATTTTGACACTAGAATAAATGTTTCCGACTCATATCGATGCCACATAGGCCGTATTCAACCAGAGACCTTTTTTTTTTTTCTTTTGATTCAGTCGCTCTTTAAGACAGTGATAGCTTTACTAGCTGGAGCTACAATGGGTCCCCTGTGAAGTCCATGGGTGTGAAATTTATTTCAGGCTTTATAATTGGTGGAGTACTGTGGATATCAATATCCCAGGCCCATGTTGCCCAGGGTTAAGAATATACATTGTAGATTAATAATATTACATTGTATTGTATTACCAGTGGTGGAAAAAGTACCCAACTGTCATACTTGAGTACAAGTAAAGATACCTTAATAGAAAATGACTCAAGTAAAAGTAAAAGTCACCCAGTACAATTCTACTTGTAAAAGTATAAATCATTTCAAATTCCTTATATTAAGCAAACCAGATGGCACCATTTTCTTTTTAATTTTTAATTTACAGAAAGCCAGGGGCACACTCCAACACTCAGACATAATTTACAAACGAAGCATGTGAGTCCGCCAGATCAGAGGCAGTAGGGATGACCAGGGATGTTCGGTTCATAAGTGCGTGAATTTGACTATTTTCCCGTCCTGCTAAGCATTCCAAATGTAACGAGTACTTTTGGGTGTCAAAGAAAATGTATGGAGTTAAAAGTACAATATTTTCTTAAGGAATGTAGTGAAGTAAAAGTAGTCAAAAATATAAATAGTAAAGTAAAGTACAGATACCCAAGAAAAACTACTTAAGTAGTACTTTAAAGTATTTTTACTTAAGTACTTTACACCACTGTGTATTACAAATTTTTAACTTATTCCACGGATCCTTTGGCCAAAAGTCATTTAATCTGTTAGTAATATTAATTTTAAAAATGAAATGTACAGTGTAAAGATATACAGTATATATTTATAAAATATAGTTTTAGATCTGGCCACGGACCCCACTTTGAGCTCCTGTTATAAAGGAAATACATTCAGTGGCCACTTTATTGGGTATGTTCACGAAAATGGTTCGCTCCTACAGACAGTGAGTCACATGGCTGTGGCTTCCTATATAAAGCAGGCAGACAGGCATCGGGGCATTCAGTTACTGTTCAAATTAATGTTAGAATGGGCAAAACGAGTGACCTAAGCGACTTTGAGCAGGGTATGATCGTCGGTGCCAGGCGAGCCAGTTCCAGTATCTCAGAAACAGCTGACCTCCTGGGCTTTTCACGCACGATAGTGTCTAGGGTTTACCGAGAATGGTGCGACAAACAAAAAACATCTAGTCACTGGCAGTCCTGTGGGTGAAAACAGCTCGTTCATGAGAGGTCGAAGGAGAATGGCAAGAATCGTGCAAGCTAATAGACGGGCCTGCAAATAACGGCAGTACATCAGTGGTGTGCAGAACAACATCTCAGAACGCACAACTCGTCGGTCCTTGTCACAGATGGGCTATTGCAGCAGATGAACACACCGGGTTCCACTCCTATCAGATAAAAACAAGAAGAAGCAGCTCCAGTGGGCACGTGATCACCAACACTGGACAATTTAGGAGTGGAAAAACATTGCCTGGTCCGACGAATACCGGTTCCTGTTGCATCATGCTGATGGCAGAGTCAGGATTTGGCGTAAACAGCATGAGTCTATGGCCCCATCCTGCCTGGTGTCAACAGTACAGGCTGGTGGCGGTGGTGTAATAGTGTGGGGAATGTTTTCCTGGCACACGTTAGGTCACTTGACATCAATTGAGCAACGTGTCCATGCCCCGAAGAATTCAGGCTGTTCTGGAGGCAAAGGGGGGTCCGACCCGGTACTAGATGGGTGTACCTAATAAACTGTGTGTATAGCTGACCTACTAAAATGTATTTCACTTTGTATAGAGTGTCTCAATTTGCCCGAGCTTATAGGGCACATGTCAAACACAAGGCCAGTGGGCCGAATCCAGCCGCTGACACACTTCTATCCGGCCCGCGCAATGATTTCGGTTGTCAATTAATTTTGGCCAGCTTTCACAGTGGTGTAAAGTACTTAGGTACAAAATACTTTAAAGTACTACTTAAGTAGTTTTTATGGGTGTCTGTACTTTACTTTACTATTTATATTTTTGACTACTTTTACTTCACTACATTCCTAAAGAAAATAATGTACTTTTTACTCCATACATTTTCCCTGACAGCCAAAAGTACTCGTTACATTTTGAATGCTTAGCAGGACAGGACAAATTCACGCACTTATTTAAGAGAACATCCCTAGTCATCCATACTGCCTCTGATCTGGTGGACTCACTAAACACACATCCTTCATTTGTAAATGATGTTGGAGTGTAGCCCCTGGCTATACGAAGTTAAAAACAGGAAAATGGTGCCATCTGATTTGCTTAATATAAGGAATTTGAAAAGATGTATACTTTTACTTTTGATACTTAAATATATTTGAAATCAAATACTTTTACTCACGTCATATTTTACTGGGTGACTTTCACTTGAGTCATTTTCTATTAAGGTATCTTTACTTTTACTCAAGTATGACAATTGGGTACTTTTTCCACCACTGTGCTTTCATACACCGGTGATGCGCTGCACTACAAGTCACAGCAAGCACTGTCAACGTGCTTGCCGCCAAACGGAAGTGTATTGGGGGTGATTCATGCCAGAATTAAGCCTCATGAAGCTACTGATACCTCTCACCAAGTCACCTAACGTCTTCCTAGCACCTTAAAATACTGCCATGAATTAACATGACGTTTTTTCCTAAGGCGTCAAACTGCCAACGCGTTCACGTCACGTTCATGTCAGTTTGCTTGTAAGTTTATTATAAAAGATCTCACCATGTAAGCCTTAAAAACATCTACATGACATCTACGTGTACATCATGCTTTCACGTCATGTACGCGTCACATGTTAGTTTAAGTGTCTGTTTAGTTTAATATTAAAGATCTCACCATGAACGCCTTACAAACGTCTACGATGTCTACATGTAAATGATTTTGTCTAAAATATTTTTTCATTGCCAGAGTAATCTAATCAATTTCATTTGTCGATTTAGCTAAAATAGGTATATCACCTCAATACAAACATTATTAGGCTAGTTGATTTGCAGCCAGCCACCAT